TTTATTACTGTTTGAAATTCCTTACTTATTAAGGATTTGATAAGATGTCCAGTTTCATCACTGTGTGTTCAGAGGTGGAACTGTCAGAAGGATCATGAAAGGTCTGATGAGATCATACTCGATGGTATTACTGGGGGTGATGGAAACAGGGATTGGGTCCTTGTTGAAGGGGGTGGATTATAGAATTGTGACCTTGGAGACTTACCTGGCCCATGGCCCCTTCCCTTCTGATTGTTTCCTTTTCTGCTTCTGGGCTGCCATGAGGTCATTAGTTTTGATCCACTATGCCCTTCTGCCATGGTTTTGCCTCACTTTAGGGCCACCACATGGAACCAGCTGAACAGGGACAGAATCCTCTGCAACCATGAGATAAAATAAGTCTTTTCTCTTTTAGGCTGTTTTTCTCAGGTATTTGGTCATGGTGATGGACATCTGAATACTACAATGTCCATCTTTTTGTTTTATGTGATTTAAAATACCTAGACTTTGGTTTATTCAGATGAGAGTTACCATATGGTACTCAAGTTTCTGTGTGTTTGGTTTCACTCAACATTACAGTGGTACCTTTGTTCATGAATTTGATTCTTTCCGCCATTCTGGTCACAGACTAGACTAGATGAGAAGTGAATCAAATTTCCCCATAAGGTCAACATTGAACTAACCATTTGTATTTGATTTGGCTGTCCTCCAACTTGGTTTGCTATCAGAATCATGGAAAGAATCAAGTTAATGAACCAACATATGACTGTGTGTTTTTCAGGTGCATCCATATTCCTACAGAAGTCTCAGTTTTAACCTTTTTATAGCCCAGTAGTATTCCATTATATACTGATATCACATTTTCTTTATCCACTTGTCTTTTGACTGATATAAGCTGTTTCCAGGATTTTATTACAATGAATTCTGGTGCTATAAAGAACAATATGCGTATATGGCTGTAGTATGCTGTATTAAGAGAAAAATAAAGGAAGGATAGAATGAGACAAGGGGATGGATCTCTTGCAGATGGGAAGGGGTCCATGGGACTGAGGGAAGGGGTGAGGGGGAAGGGATGAGGAAATAGATAGAGTGAAGATATGCTGTGTACAAAGTCCTAGTAATCTTAATGAATGTGGACATTATATGCTGTAAACATGGAGTAAGATTAATAATATTAACAAGAATGAAAAGTAGGAAAGAGGAACCAGAGGGGAAGGGAGGGAAAGAGAGGGAAGGAGATTAAAAAAAGAAGCAGGCTGTATTATGCACATGTACTAACTCCCCCAAGATGATTGTAAAATGCATGTACTACAAACATGTACTAGTAAAATAAAAAAAAAAAGGGGAATGCAGAGACTCACTAACTACTAGAGCTGAGTAGTTAATAGTACAGCCCTTTGGTTGGGAGCTATGGATATTATGGCACTTAAGACAAACTCCTGTACAAGTGGATAGACCTTGATTCAATTACTTCGAGGTATCGTGGGGGAAGACAAAGCTCTTGCTCAAGCTGCCAGAGACCTGCTCTTTGTTGGTTCAGTTAACTCCCTGATGCAGCCTAGTTAAAAGCTCAGCTGTGGGTAGCGCTAGCTGGGAGAGTATGCTAGTAAGTCCCTTCCAGCGAGAAACTAAAACATTTTACTTTTATCATCTTCTCTTCCCTAATTTTTGGGCATAAAGCTCCTGGATGTGCTTGGGAATCTGTATAAAACCATGTTTTCCTGTGGTGTAGAGAGGTTGCTATATGCTTGTTTCCCTTGCTCTTGGAGTTGGTGAGTTAAGAGGCAAACTGTGGGAAACCTTTGAATTTGTGTGTTATAATTGTGATGCAAACCACCCTTTCCTCAAGGATTAATTATAAATAGTGTAACACAGTGTTCAGAGTGGAGGCAGGACCAAGTGTGCAGCACATTTTCCCACCTGCTAGATAAGGATGTTTTCTCATTTGCCCAATGCATGTCAATATTTCTGCTTGATTCTTGGTTTCTGTCAGTGAGTTGTTATAGGCATAGATATTTACTTGATATACCAGCTGAAGGGAGAAGCATAGCCTCTTATTCTGCCACACTGGTGATGTTACATTCTAGGAATGGGAAACTCTTAGTCCTTTTTTCAATTTTTTTTTTTTTATTTTAAAGAGAAAAAAATAACAAAATAAGAATAACAAAGACAAAAATAAAACAACACACAATTTCAAAACAAGATGATAGCAAATTAACAATGATTGTTATATTACATATTATTATCTTCAACAAAGTTGTTCAGATTACCATATGTAAGAATGCAAGACTGATCAAACAATTGAAGAGAATAAAAAATAAT